GTTAACTCTCACAGCAGGCAACTGCCAAACAAATTCCACCAGAAGCAATGGCGTGTTTAGCGGTGACATCTATATTAGTCACAGACATTGCACTTTAGAACAGCCCCTGGTGCCACGTAGGATGTTATTGCAAATGTGCGCAGAAAGAAAATGTTCTCGAGAGGGAAATGATATTTGTACGATATTTGTGTCTTATTTTTTGTGTAAATTTTTTAATTTAGTTTTTTATATAATTTGATATATCATTAAAATAATTAATTTTTTTAATTCACATAAAACTCATGATATTAAATGTATCTATTTATTTAATAATATGTAAAAGTTATATAAAAAGATAATTGTACGATATTTGTGTCTTATTTTTTGTGTAAATTTTTTAATTTATTTTTTTATATAATTTGATATATTATTAAAATAATTAATTTTTTTAATTCACATAAAACTCATGATATTAAATGTATCTATTTATTTAATAATATGTAAAAGTTATATAAAAAGATAAAATAAAAAGATTATTTTAATAACATCATCTTTTTCAAAATCATTTTTTTATATAATTTTAAATATCATGTGTTATTTAAATGATTGTTTATTTATTTAAGATTCATAATATTAAATATAAAAATTAATGTTTATTTATTTTATTTTTAAAAAATTAAAAAAATTATTTTAAAATTATATAATTTTAATAAAATATTAAAAAATAATAAAAAACACTTTAATTTATATTTTAAAAATAAAATACTTTAATTTTTTAATAAAAATTTATTAAAATAATATAATTTTAAAATAATTTTTTTAATCTTCAAAAACAAACAGATAAATACTATTAATTAATAATATATAAAAATAATATAAAAAAATTATTCTCATGTCACATTGCTCGAAGCAGAAAGCGTGCAATGCGTGACATTTGCCAGCTCACCATGTGACCAAGCCCAAAAAGCACCCACATTATATGCTACTGACTGCGCATAGGCGCGGGCCGTTACAGTCGAAAGAAAACATTCCAGTACCAGCTGCATAAGCATAGCACCTACAACGAGGTTGATTTTCACTGCAATTTTCTCCTCTTTTCTTTTTTTCTTTTTCAGAGATAAACAGAGAAGCTGAGATGGGGGATTTGAGGAAGAAAACCGAAGTTATGTTAGTGTTGATGATGGTAATGGCGGCGATGGCAGCAATGGATGGTGTAACGGCGGTGCTGCACCGTGTCGGAGATAAGTACGGATGGAACCCCAACGTTAACTACACCGAATGGTCCGATGCAGAGCATTTCTACGTTGGCGATTGGCTCCGTAATTTCTCTAACTCTTTTAACTCTCTGATTTAGAAAATAATCATGTTTCCCTGCATATTAACATAATCAACTTTTTCTTCTTTTCTTTTTTTTCTGTTTTGGCCTTTCCTTCATAGATGAAAGTTGAAAATAATATTAAAACAAAATTTCTTAATTTCTCTCTAGAGATCGGGGAACTGCCATGTCAGTGCCATGGCTGATCCTAGTAGTAATTAATAATTATTAATTTTTTTTTAATATTAGAGATGGAACGATAAACTCACACCTCCAAATTTTAACGTGAGAAATTATTTACAAAGAAGACCAATAACTAGATCACAAAAATGTTTTAAATTACTAATTTATGTAGATTGAGTGATAATAGAAAATGTTTATTATCATTATCATGGTTACATGATTTTTTTTTCTTTTAATTTAAATAAAATTTAAAAGCATATAGATACATTTTTAGGTTAAAAACTGTAAGTATGACCTACCAATTTCATTAGAAAAAAATCTATTGTAAATTATGTTTTTTAGAAGTTATATAATACTTTAAATTTTTCAATAAAAAAATATATTAAATGGATTTGGCAGGTATTGGTATGGTAATGCTAGATTATTTTATTGCAAAAAAAAAAAAATGACTGGTTTGCAATTACCAAAAATTTATTTTTGCTATGATATCAAAAAATATCTTTGGTATGATATCAATTAAAGAAGTCATTGGATAAAATTTGTTACAACAGCAAACAATCCTCGGTTGGATACCTTACCCCACATTCCCCACCAGAAGTACTTTCTTTCCAATTTCAGCATTGTGGAGTACAAAAGAATGGAAGCTACAATAAAAAATGAATTCTTTGTTTTCTAATCGAGACTATATAATAATTTTTATGTAAAAAAGGGTAAAATGTTAGATTGAATTTTAGTTTAAAAATCAGAAAAGGGTTCAGGAATCACGAATGGCTCTTTTTTCTTTTTTATTACTTCTTCTGTAACTTTGTTTATTCTTTAACTCTTTTTTTTTTTTTTTTTTTCGAGCTGAAGCAAATATTTAAAGTGTTAAAGATTTGTCAGGGTATAACTCCTCTTTTACTTTTATATCACCATCATCGTCACTTTGGAATTT